GGGGACCCGTGAACCCCTCGCTTGCTGCTGCTGCTGCTGCTGCTGCTGCTGCTGAGGACATGGCCCTCAGAGTCGACGGGGCCACTCTGCGGCGCATCAGACGCGAATATGCAGAAAGCATTAGTTTGAAGGCTTCCCACGGACAGCAGGGCCTCATTCGCCTCGTGCTGCAAAGCAGTTCCGGCCCAGTCCTTCCGGGGGGCCCTCCGCCCCCAGTGGACCGGGTGGTGGTCTGCGTGAGGAGACCAGTGGTCAAGGGCAGCACTTACTTGGTCTTTTTCGAGGCCAGCCGGGCCTCCCCGGAGCTCCAAAGGGGACAGTCTAGAGGCCTTCTCGGGGGCGTGGGCCACGTAGTGGAACAAATACCCTGGGTGGAGAAGCCTGAGACTCTTCTTAACTTGGGTGCGGAGAATGCCTGGCGTTTTGCCGAGACTGGCGCTAACCAGCTGGAGAAGTACCTTGCCTGGCCTGCGGCGGACATCTTCGACCTCCAGCGGCAGCAAAAGCAGCCATCCGCCGCCTCGACAGCTGCAGCAGCAGCTGCTGCTGCTGCTGCTGCTGCGGCTGCTGGCGCTGCTGCCGGCGCAGCGGGGGCCGCTGCAGCGCCAGGAAGCAACCAGCCCTCGAGGAAACCCTCGACAGCAGATGGCAAAGCCGCCTTGCCACCTGGGGAATCCGCAGTGGAGGCCCACTCGGGGTCCTTTTTGGGCAACGGGGGGCCCCCCCTGAGGGCTGCGTCGGAGGTCCGCGGGGGCCCCCGGCCCCCATGGGTTATGCCCGAGGGCTACTGGGGCGGCGCCAGTGAAGAGCGCCTGAGGCTGTTTGACCCCAATACGGACCCCAGGGCCCGTGGGGGGCCCCCGCAGCGCAAGCGGCCGTGGCGGGGGGGCCCCCCGGGGGCCCCCGGGCGAGGGGGGAAGCTGGAGACGGCGGGGGAAAGCGACGAGGAGGAAGTGGAAAGACCCCCGCTGTTCAGCAGAGACTTGAGCGTGAACTTGTTTGTGGTGGGGGCGGGGCTGTCGCTGATCGACAGCAAGCCCGCAGAGATTTTCTACGGCTCGCTGCAGCTGCTGCAGCTGGCCTTCAAGTCCAGCCAAGAAGGCGAAAAGCTGCGCCTGTCCATAGGCTGGGTGCAAATCGACAACCACGCGCCCATGGCTTACTACCCAACAATGCTGCGGCCCATCACTGACATGCGGGCGAGCTTTAGCCCCGACGAGGCCTCCTCGAGCTCCCCAAAGGCCTCCGCCGACAGCTCCCGCCACCTCAGTGCAGCCTCCACGGCCACGGCCCCAGCCCCCCTCAAGAGAGACCCCAGCAAAGAAGACTTGCCCGTGCGGCCCCAGGGTCCCCAGGGGCCCCTGGGCCCCACGGGCCTCGGGGTCCGGCCCCCCAGGCCCCCCTCTCCGGGGCGCGCTTCCCCCCGCATGGGGGGCCGGAGAGGGGCAGTGCCCTTCACGGCCACCAGAGACCCTGGGGACAACGAAGAACGGGAAGGGGAAGGGGGTGGGCTGGTGGCGCCGGGGGCCCCGGGGGCCCCGGGGGCCCCCGGGGTCCCGGGGGGTCCCCTGCGGTCGTCGCTGGCCCTGCAGGAGCGGCGCAGGTCCGCCTCGCACCTGCCCCTAGAAGAAGCCGAAGAGGCCCATGCGCTGCATGCGGAGGCCGAAGGGCTGAAGCTGCTGGATGAAGAAGACGCAGTGGCGCAGCTGGTGCTGGAGAGGCGCAACACTGTGGACGGGAGAGGCCTGACAGTAATACCCCAGTGCGTGCTGCGGCTGGCGCCCATGTCAGTGAACATTGACTTTCAGTTGGCCTTCGCGCTGCTGCTGTTTGTGGACGATTTGCTGAGGACCACCGACTTGGACTTGCTGCAGCAAAGCGTCAAGGAGATCCGAACCTCCGAGACTGATGCAGGCAGCCCCAGCTGGAGAGCCATGCTCGGTAAGATATACACTAAACTTGCTGCTGCCCGCCCTTTGATCTCGCGCTGCAGCAGCGCAGCAGCGCAGCAGCCGCAGCGGCTGGCAGCAGCAGCTAGCCCAGCAGATCTGCCGTGGGTCTCGCGCGGTCAGGAAAGCCTAGCTGCGCAGGCGCAGAAAACCGCTCAGATAGGCAGCAGGAGAATCGGGCGCAGCTGCAGGCGCGCTGCTGCTGCTGCTGCAGTGCTGCGTTGCTGTGCTGCTGTGCTGCTGCGGTGCTGCGCAGGCCCCGTGGAAGGAGCCCTGGCCGAGGTGATCCGGGGGAGCGGCGACGGAGCAGGGAAAGTGTACTTGGGAACTCTAGACGTGGGCCGGGTGGCTCTGGTGATAAACATTCGAAACAAACGGCAAGGCGCAGAAGAAGAGGAGCAGCCCCACAGCGAACTGATTCGCGGGGTGTTGGCAATAATGAAGTCCAGCCCTTACATAAGCGACGCGAACTTGGTCTTCGCGCCCGAAGTGCACCAGAGCCTCTGCGGGCCCCTCGTAGTTCTCGTCTCCGACATTCTCCAAACTTACATCGGCCAGGCCATCAAACAAATCTTCCAACTCCTCGGCGCTGTCGACCTCTTCGGAAACCCCGTCATCATGTGCAAACACTGGAAGTCCGGAGCCCAGGGCTGCTTCTACGTCCGTCGCGCCCCATATGCCACAACTGACTCAGCTAGATCAGCTAGCTCAGCTAGCTGAAATAGCTCAGCTAGCTCAGCTAGCTGAGATAGCTGAGATAGCTGAGATAGCTAAGATAGCTGAGATAGCTGAGCTAGCTAAGATAGCTGAGCTGGCTGTACTAACTAAGATAGCTGAGCTGGCTGTGCTAGCTGAGATAGCTGAGATAGCTGAGCTAGCCGAGGTAGTTGAGTTTGCTGGGCTAGCTGAGATAGCCGAGATAGCCCAGACAAACGAGATAACTGAGCTAACTGATAGACGGGGTAGTTGAGCTAGCTGAGCTAGCCACGCCAGTGTGGACTCGTGCATAGATTGAAACGCCGTGCATGCATGGATGCACACATGCATGTATGCAAGCGTGCGTGCGTGCGTGGATGCATGCATGCATGCATGCATGCGTGCCTGCGTGCTCCTACTGTTTGGCGTGTGGGCTGTGCGTGCTTCTTCAGGAAATGCGCCGGGGGCTGGCCCTGTGGGGCACTCCGGGCTTTGCGTTTATCTCCTTCGGGCGGGGCCTCGCGCGGTGCGGCACGGGCTTTGTGGGGGGCCTCTTGGACTCTTCGGGCCGGTTTTTTGGGTCTTGGTTTCAGTGCTTCGAGGCCTTGGCCCGCAACTCCGACTCCTATTCCGTAATGCCTTTTGCCCAGGGCCAAGGGGGCTTCACGGACCAGCCGGGGAGCATTGCAGAGGGGCTTGTGTAAGGCTTGCTGTTGCCTGCTGCTGGCTGCTGCTGCTGGTTGCTGAACGTCTCTTTGCTCCAAATGCACATTTTCTTTAGAGAAGCTGACTGGGTCTTTTGGGACTCTCCCTGGGGGGCTAGTTCTTGTAGAGCCACTTAGAAAGAAAAAGAGAGAGCAGGCGCTGGCCCGTAGCTCTTCTCCAGCCCCCGCTGCAGCTCGAGTAGCCTTGTGCGTTTTTTCACCAAGTCCTTTTGCCGTGGCCGCCTGCAGTGCCGCCTGGCTCCCTCATTTGCCTTTGTGCCTCCGGCTGAAATGGGCTTTTTGCTGGGGAGAATAGCGGCACAGAGGACCAGAAAGAAGCCAATTGCATGCAATTAGAAGCCCCTTAACTAGCCAAAAGCAGCCAGGAATGAAGCGAGTGCCTTCTTTTAACCTCCCATTCTTCTGTCTCTTCTCCGCCAGTGCTGCTGCCCTGGGCCGCTGCTGGCGGCGCTGGCTGCATTTGATGCTGCTGCTGCTGCTGTGTGTTGCTGCGGGCTGTAGCTCTGGGGGCAAGGGCTTTGCATTTACCTTCGCTTTGTCGCTGGCGAACTTCTGCGGCAAGCCCTTCAAAGCCACGCAAATCCACTTGGCCCAGCCCTCCCTCAACAGCAAAAAGGACAGGCTGCTGGCGGGGGGCAAAGGCTTCGCCATTGGGGCTGCCTCGGGACTCAGCTCCCTCTGTTTTGGAGTTCCCTCTTCTCTGCTGCTGCTGCTCTCCTCCTCTTGCGTCGGCGCACTCAACCAAATACAGGCAGTGCCCATGCTCGAATCAGTGAGCTGCTGCAGCTCCCGTCGAACCGGGCGCCGCTGCTCGTTGCTGCTGCTGCTACTACTGCTACTACTGCTGCTGCTACTGCTGCTGATGCTGCTCGTGCTGCCTGCTCCCCGTGGCTGCTGCCGCTGGCTGCTGCTGCTGCTGCTGTTGCTTTGAAGCAGTTTGGCTCGAGGAAGTTTGTTTTGTGGGGCTGCGCAGGTGCGGCCGCGGCGGGTGTTTTGCATTGGCTGCTGGCGGCCAGAAAGCTACAGCTTTTCGCTGGCTGCGGCGCAGAGCTGCGTGCGGCGGGGGGCGCGGGCGCCGCCGGCGCAGCTGCTGTTCACAATTCCCGTATACAAGCAGCGGGAAGAGGGGGAGGGGCAGGGGCCCCCCCCCGGGGGGGAGCGGCTGCAGCGGCTGGAGCAGCGGCTGCAGCAGCTGGGCCGGGGGCAGCAGCAGCCGCGGCGGCGGCGCCCGCTGCTGTGGCTGGCCGTGGGGCTCCGCAAGTTGGGGCTGCTCGAAGGCAAACATGTCCTCTGGAGCTGCTTCCGCGGCGATGTGGCCCAGCTGCAGGTTGTCAGGGCCCCCGCAGCAGATCACAACAACCCCACCAAAGCCGTCGCCTTCTTCCTCAGCGTCCTCCACTTCAGAACCGACGGGAGGCCCCCCTCAGACGAGGGCCTCTCCAGAAACGTCCGAGAGGGTCTCAGACAAAGGGCTGAACTCGTGCGCACTTGCTGCTGCTGCTGCTGCTGTTGCTGCTGCTGGCGTTGCTGTTGTTGGTGCTGCTGTTGCTGCTGCTGGTGTTGCTGTTGCTGCTGCTGTCGTTGTTGGTGCTCCTGTTGCTGTTGCTGCTGCTGCCGTTGTTGCTGTTGCTGCTCGAGGCTCGGTTGCCCTTGCTGCAGCTTCCTTGTTGGTTCTGGTATTGTTGCTTTGGGGTTTCTTCTTGCTGCTGCTGCTGCTTCTGCCACTGTTGACCTGCATTTTCAAAAGGTGTTGTGAATGTGGGCTCAGGGCGGCATGCAGGTGCAAACGCCCGCCACGAACAGCTCCATCACCGGCAGCAGCAGCTACAGTAGCACCACCAGTAGCAGCAGCAGCAGCAGCGGCAGCTACACCGACGAGGAGGCCACGGAAGACCTCGAAGACGAATTTTCGGAGTCTTCGTCCTCCCTGTCCAACACTTTTGGCGGTCCATTATCCAGGGACCCCTCAGCAGACCAGCAAGCACCAGCAGCAGCAGCAGCACCAGGGAAAGCAGCAGCTTCAGGCGTCAAAGACAGCAGCTGGCCAAAGAAGAGCGAGTCCAGTGGGCAGCAAAGAAGCAGCATGAGGGAAACCCTCACTTCCCTTGTCAAAGGCTCCCGCCTGGGGGGCCGCGGCAGCTCTCTGCAGCCAGAGGGTTCTGGGGAGCAGCTGCAGCGCGAGTCCTCGGTTCCTCAGCAGCAGCCGCAGCAGGAAGAGCCGCAGCAGCAGCAGCAGCAGCTGCTGCCGCAGCAGGGCAGGTGGAAAGTGCTGCGAAAGAGCAACGTGGGGAAGTGGTTCCTGGGCCGAGGCAAAACCTGGGAGACAGATCCTATGAAGCAAACTTTCATCTCCAGATGGGTTGAGTTCCCCTCAGAGATGGCCGCGCTGCATGCATTTGATGTTCTCTCGCAGCTGCTGGACAGCCCCCCAGGCCAGGGGCTGACAGACACCACCGTCTTCCCCCTCCCCTAGGCGTAAGGGGGACCGTTTTGGCTAGCTAGCTAACTAGCTAGCCAGCTAGCTAGCTAACCGGCTAGCTAGCCATCGATCTAGCTAGCCAGCCAGCTAGCGAGCCAGCCAGCTAGCAAGCTAGCCAGTCAGCGAGCTAGCTAGCCTGCTAGCTAGCGATCCAGCTAGCTAGCCAGCTAGCTAGCTAGCTAGCTAGCTAGCTACCCAGCTAGCTACTCAGACAGCTCTCTAGAGGCTAGCTTGGGGGCTTCTCAGCTACACAGTCGATGCCGTCCGCGGCCTACTCGGCCAATAACTGGCCACTTCACCCTGGCTAGCTAGCCAAAGGACAAAGCCCCATGCAGCTAGCTACACAGCTAGCTGACATGCAGGGCTGAGGTAGGCGGCCCGGCCCGCTAGCGAAGCAGCTAGCTAGCTGGGCGCCGTAGCCTTTAATTTTCAGCGGCTAGTCCCGCCCTCAGGTTTTACGGAAAGACAGAATATAAAGTTGTCTTTCCGCGCGTTAGAGTCCTTCTTTGAGACCCCCTTTCTGCTGCTGCTTGCTGCTCCTGGAGCTGCTCGTTTTTGCGGCTGTTCCCGGCTACAGATTGCTGCTGCGGACTTCTGCTGCTGCTTGCTGCTGCTGCCCGTGTCCGCTCAGTGACTCTGTGTGCTTTTCTATACACTATTTCTTCTTTTTATTTTTGCATGCAGTTGTGGTAGGATACAACTAAGAGGCAACTAACTGCCTACTGGCTGCTGTGGCTGCTGCTGCAGCAGCAGTGACAGGTCTTTCTGCTGCCTCCCGCTGCTGCTGCAACAGCAGCTATTAAGGGCTTGGTCTCGAGTTATGTGCCCCCTCAGCCAGCACCAGGCCTAGCAGTAGCCAGCAGCGGAGACCAGCGCCTCCCCGCAGCGGGCCTTAGGGGGCCCCAGAGGCCGCAGCAGCGCAGCAGCAGTTTCTGCAGCGCAGCGGCAGCTTCTGCAGCGCAGCAGCAGCTTCTGCAGAGCAGCAGCGTCAGAGGCTGCTGCAGCACATCTGAGCTACCGACCCCCGTGGCTGCACTTGTTGCTGCCGCGGCACCCAGAGGCCCAAATATCCCCACACCTAAAGAGCAATGGAGGCCCCCAGTGTGAGGCTGGGGTCTGGAATTGCGCAGTTAGCAGCACTAGCAGCAGCAGACACATCCGAATAGGCAACAAAGCATTGAAGTGTTCATTCTAGTGGGATAAAATGTGCAAATATTTCAAATTTAGAAGGCCTGGAGCAGCTTCAAGTCACCAGAACAAAACTAGCGGTAAACTAGGGGCCCTGGGGTGCCTGGCTGGGAACCCTGGGGGGCCCTTGCGGCTGCCGAGGGGGGCCCTGGAGTCGCGTTGACCCTTTTCGTTAGCCGTGAACAGATTTTTCCTCTTTAATTGTCCAATGCAATTCAAATTTGAGTAATTACCCCATGTTATCCCTCCAGCATTAGCCCTGGGCGGCCCCCGCCGCCGATTGAGGCCCCGCTGTTGAGGCCTTGCGGGGGCCCCCAAGCCCGTGGCAAGCCGTCTCGGTTTTCCGGGGAAATTCCCCTCAAATGTCATTTAAAAATATAAAATATACAGCTTGAGCTATTTAGAGGCCTTCAAGGCGTATCTAAGGGGCACAAAGGGGCCTCGCAGCCTACGCAGGAGGCCCCAGCACAGGGGGCTCCCGTCTTCCTAGCCCCAGAGTCTTCCTCTGCATGCAGACCACTGTGGCTGCTCTTAGCCAGGGCTCGCGGCGGGTCAGCAGCGCCGCTGCTGCTGCAGCAGCAGCAGCAGCGCCGCGCTGCAGCACGCTGAGGACGCACTTTCAGGCTGCAGCAGCTCCTGCTACAGCGCGAGTAGCAGTTCCTGCTGCAGCGCAAGCAGCAGCTGCAGCAGCAGCTTCCACCTTGATTGCATCCTGCAGCTTCTCTAGTCTGCGTCCACGGGGTGTACGTACACCGCCGGTGGTCCCCACCAGGGTTTGCTGCTCAGTCTGGGGGCCCCTGCAGCCGCTCTCAAGGGGGGGCCCCCGGGGCCCGGGGAGCCCCCCCATCCGGGGGCCCCTGGACCGCCCCTTTGGAAGCCTGCCTAGCAGCAAAACTGCAGCAGCAGCAGCAGTAGCAGAGGGGGGAGTGCTGCCCTCACGGCTAGCTGTGGCTACAGACTTTGTACTCCCGCAAGAGCTGCCCGTCAAGCAGCAGGGCAAGTGCAGCAGCAGCAGCAATCGAGGCAGCAGCAGCAACAGCAGCTGGGGTGGCAGCGCTGAGGATCGTAGCAGCAGCAGCAGAATAGCAGCAAAGGCGCCACTCGCTGCAGCAACAGTGCAGCCAGCTACCCTGAGTCTAGCAGCAAACGCCAAACAGCAACAGC